CCGGTCGATAGTTATGTCACGTTCTTGATTTCTGTGTTTCATCCCGGTCGATAGTTATGTCACGTTCTAGATCTTTGTGTTTGATCCCGGTCGATAGTTTTGTTACGTTCTAGATCTATGTGTTTTATCCCGGTCGATAGTTATGTCACGTTCAAGATCTATGTGTTTTTTTCCCGGTCGATATTTATATCACGTTCTAGATCTCTGTGCTTTATCCCGGTCGATAGTTATGTCACGTTCTAGATCTATGTGTTTTATCCCGGTCGATAGTTATGTCACGTTCTAAATCTCTGTGTTTTATCCTGGTCGATAGTTATGTCGCGTTCTAGATCTCTGTGTTTTATCCCGGTCGATATTTATGTCACGTTCTAGATCTCTGTGTTTTATCCTGGTCGATAGTTATGTCACGTTCTAGACATCTGTGTTTTATCCCGGTCGATAGTTATATAACGTTCTAGATCTCTGTGTTTTATCCCGGTCGATAATTATATCACGTTCTAGATCTCTGTGTTTTATCCCGGTCGATAGTTATGTCACGTTCTAGATCTCTGTGTTTTATCCCGGTCGATATTTATAACACGTTCTAGATCTATGTGTTTTATCCCGGTCGATAGTTATGTCACGTTCTAGATCTCTGTGTTTTATCCCGGTCGATAGTTATATCACGTGCTAGATCTCTGTGTTTTATCCCGGTCGATAGTTTTGTCACGTTCTAGATCTCTGTGTTTTATCCCGGTCGATAGTTTTGTCACGTTCTAGATCTCTGTGTTTTATCCCGGTCGATAGTTATAGCACGTTCCTACTCTCAATTTGCAAGATCGTCATTGAAAAACAGACTTGATCTCGATCAGATCGATGTTTGCAGCCGTACAGGAAACACTATTGTTGCTGTTGTCGGATCCCAAAGTTGAAGGTCTATAGTAATTATTTTTTAAGTGGCGTATATATCTATCACAATAACGACTGAATCAGCGGGCGGTCATATTGGAGGGTATAAATTATCGAAGAGGAAAGTAACAAAATGTTCTAATGCGGGTCGTAGTTATTGTTCCGTTAATCGACTCACGTGACTGCTGGTAAAGAGCTATAACTACTTTAGTGTGATGTAAATATAAAACCACAACAATTAACACCCCCTATCTTGGAAAATGGGAGAACAAATTCCACAATAAAGTAAAACCAGATTTCCACTACAGCAATATTCTATTTAGGAGAATTTCTTCTAAACAAGTAGATTCATACGCAGACAGATTCCTTTCAAAGGAAGTCTTACTAAAACACGATTATCATGGAAGGATGCTTTTTACTAAAACGACTTTCCTTTAAAGAAGCTTTCCTACTGAAACAAGGAAACCTACTTCCCGTGACACGAGCTTACTATATAGCTAGCAGCTACCAGCGGTGATAAAAGAGGAATTTGTCCGAGAATACGTTACGGAAGCCAAATGTTGGCACAGAGGTCATGTGACAACGAATATCGACACAGAGGCCATGTGACAACCTGTATCAACACAGAGGTCATGTGAATACGGATGTCAACGCAGAGGTCAGGTGACAACGAATATCGACACAGAGGCCATGTCACAAGCTATATCAACACAGAGGTCATATGACAACCTATATCAACACAGATGTCATGTGCCAATAGATGTCAACTTAGAGGTAATGTGCCAATAGATGTGAACACAGAGGTCATGTGCCAATAGATGTCAAACCAGAGGTAATATGCCAATAGATGTCAACACAGAGGTAATGTGCCAATATATGTCAACACAGAGGTCATGTGCCAATAGATGCCAACATAGAGGTAATGTGCCAATAGATGTGAACACAGAGGTCATGTGCCAACCTTTATTAACACAGAGGTCCGGTGACAACCGAGATCTACACAGAGGTAATGTAACAACCTATATCAACACAGAGGCCATGTGCCAATAGATGTCAACTTAGAGGTAATGTGCCAATAGATTTCAACACAGAGGTCATGTGACAATAGATGTCACCATAGAGGTAATGTGCCAATAGATTTCAACACAGAGGTCATGTGCCAACCTTTATTAACACAGAGGTCATGTGACAACTTATATCAACACAGAGGTCATGTAACAACCTATATCAACACAGAGGTCATGTGAAAACGGATGTCAACGCAGAGGTCAGGTGACAACGAATATCGACACAGAGGCCATGTCACAAGCTATATCAACACAGAGGTCATGTGATAACCTATATCAACACAGGGGCCATGTGATAACCTCTATCAACACAGGGGCCATGTGATAACCTCTATCAACACAGGGGCCATGTGACAACGGATGTCAACACAGAGGTCATGGGACAACGGATGTCAACGCAGAGGGCATGTGACAACGGATGTCAACCCAGAGGTTATGTGACAACGGATGTCAACACAGAGGTCATGTGACAACCTTTATTAACACAGAGGTCATGTGACAACCGATATCAACACAGAGGTAATGTAACAACCTATATCAACACAGGGGCCATGTGACAACCTTTATCAACACAGGGGCCATGTGACAACGGATGTCAACACAGAGGTCATGTGACAACGCATGTCAACACAGAGGTAATGTAACAACCTATATCAACAAAGGGGCCATGTGACAACCTTTATCAACACAGAGGTCATTTGACAACCTTTATCAACACAGAGGTCATGTGACAACGGATGTCAACGCAGAGGTCATGTGACAACGGATGTCAACACAGAGGTCATGTGACAGCCTTTATCAACACAGAGGTCATGTGACAACCTTTATCAACACAGAGGTCATGTGACAACCTATATCAACACAGAGGTAATGTAACAACCTATATCAACACAGGGGCCATGTGACAACCTATATCAACACAGGGGCCATGTGACAACCTTTATCAACACAGAGGTCATGTGACATCTATTGGCACATGACCTCTGTGTTGACATCCGTTGTCACAGAGGTCATGTGACAACCTATATCAACACAGGGGCCATGTGACAACCTATATCAACACAGGGGCCATGTGACAACCTATATCAACACAGGGGCCATGTGACAACTTTTTTCAACACAGAGGTCATGTGACAACGGATGTCAATGCAGAGGTCATGTGACAACGGATGTCAACACAGAGGTCATGTGCCAATAGATGTCAACACAGAGGTAATGTGCCAATATATGTCAACACAGAGGTCATGTGACAACGGATGTCAACACAGAGGTCATGTGACAACCTATATCAACACAGGGGCCATGTTACAACCTATATCAACACAGGGGCCATGGGACAACCTATATCAACACAGGGGCCATGTGCCAACCTATATCAACACAGGGGCCATGTGCCAACCTATATCAACACAGGGGCCATGTGACAACCTTTATCAACACAGGGGCCATGTGACAACGGATGTCAACACAGAGGTCATGTGACAACCTAGATCAACACAGAGGTCATGTGACAACCTATAACAACACAGGGGCCATGTGACAACCTATATAAACACAGAGGACATGTGACAACCTATATCAATACAGAGGTCATGTTACAACCTATATAAACACAGAGGTCATGTTACAACCTATATCACCACAGGGGCCATGTGACAACCTATATCAATACAGAGGTCATGTTACAACCTATATAAACACAGAGGTCATGTGACAACCTATATCAATACAGAGATCATGTTACAACCTATATCAACACAGGGGCCATGTGCCAACCTATATCAACACAGGGGCCATGTGCCAACCTATATCAACACAGGGGCCATGTGACAACCTTTTTCAACACAGAGGTCATGTGACAACCTATAACAACACAGGGGCCATGTGACAACCTATATCAATACAGAGGTCATGTTACAACTATTTCAACACAGAGGTCATGTGACAACCTAGATCAACACAGGGGCCATGTGACAACTTTTTTCAACAAAGAGGTCATGTGACAACGGATGTCAACGAAGAGGTCATGTGACAACGAATATCGACACAGAGGCGATGTGACAACCTATATCAACACAGAGGTAATGTGACAACCTATATCAACACAGAGGTAATGTGACAACCTATATCAACACAGGGGCCATGTGACAACCTATATCAATACAGAGGTCATGTTACAACTATTTCAACACAGAGGTCATGTGACAACAGATGTCAACACTGGGGTCATGTGGCAACGGATGTCAACGCAGGGGTCATGTGACAACGAATGTCAACACAAAAGTCATGTGACAACGAATATCGACACAGAGGCCATGCGACAACAGATATCCAAATATATACTATGTATAAGTCTTGTGGTTGGTACAGGGATTTGTATCAATAGCCCCCACAGCAGACCTGTATTCGTAATTCCAAAATCTGAGAATTGCCTATGCTAATTCCTTTTGTATATGCCATTTGTAAACGATTCGTTCACTTTAATACTGTTTACACTAACAATATACTCGATAAAGGTAAATGGTACGACTGCACTTTGGACATAGTAATTTCCCCTTTCTCGAGTTGTATAGGCTTTGCGGCTAATGATTCGGGCACTAGGTTTGTTGCTGTCCATGTCCAATCCCTTGATTTCAACACTGGTAAAGTGAAGCTTTTTGAATGTTAAGGTCGTGAGGTTGACTCCTGCAGTAATTTTTTTTTCTTTTTTTTTCTTCTATATTTCCATTTTCAAATATTCAAATTTCTAACCAACTATAATTCTGTAAGATACAACGCAACATGTGATTAGAATTGAATAATTCTTTTGAAAAGGACTTAAACAACAGCGACAATGGTAACGACATAGGTAAACTTGTCGGTACCTTTTACCTTAAACCGTTACCTATTCTGTTTCTCACCTACGGATCCAGGGGATATACAGGACTTCTAGAATCCTCAAAGCCTGTCAATATCATTAAAATGCCATGTTTTTTTAACCTTATTCTCATTGGTAAATCCTCTCCCCTAACCCCTACCCCATTCGACACGTGGCATTTGACTTACTTGTAAGCATAACACAGATCGCTTGTGTCCTCTAAAAATTCGCACCAGAGACGCATTCGATATGTTCCACATGCGCACGGTAAAGTCTGTACTTCCGGTAAACAAATGTTTGGCTTCTGAGTCAGTTGCCATGCAAGTGATGGCTCCAGCATGACCCAAGAAAATGTTCATGTTGTAAGTCGAGTGAATGTCCCAGGAGCGTGCTGTTCCGTCCAATGACGCAGTGATAAGCACGTCCTTGTCGCTATCCGGATCATCCTCAACAATGTAGTCACTATCAGATGGAATGAATATGACACAGAGGACAGCTAATTTGTGTCCCCGAAAAATACGCAGAGGATCACCAGTAGCAAAGTCCCAACACCTCGCCGTGCGGTCGTAAGATGTAGAAAATAGAAGACTTCCGGTACACAGAAGGCGCTCGACAAGCGCTTCATGACCACGTATAGTGTAGACACAACTGTCCTCTCCCTGCTCCGTGATGTCCCATTTTCGGATCGTGCTGTCAGCGCTTCCACTGATGAGAAATTCGTCCCAAAATACCATACACGTGACATAACTCTCGTGACCTTTGTATACGTGTAAACATGTGTATTCATTTAAATCCTGTTGATCTGGATCGGGACCGTAAAGACGGATTGTGCAATCGTCACTTCCGGTCGCTAAAAGCGTTACAATACGACCTGGATCATTTATTCTTCCACGTGCTTCTCTTCCTTTTTCGGCACCAGGATATATGCCACTTCCGCTGGCAAAGGGTTCATATTCATTCCCTTGAGTAAAACTACTTCCGCTCTCAAACGGCCCCTTCTCACTTCTTGGACTAAAGTCACTTTCACTTTCAAACGGTACTCTTTCATTCCTTGAAAAACTACTACTTTCTCGTTCAAAGGGTACCTTTTCATTCCTCGAAGTACAATCTCTTCCACTCGGAAATGGTTCTTTTTCATTCCCTGGAGTAGAATCACGTCCGCTTTGAGATAGTTCATTTTCATTTTCTGAATCAGAATTACTTTCGGTAGCAAACGATTCCTTTCCCTGTTCTGGTGAAGATCGACTTCCGCTAGCTATGGGCTCCGCTAGTGGATCGCGTCTATATCCAGGGTAAAGGATATTTGTACTGATATTACATGTCGCAATACAGTTAATACTTCCGGTGTGCTGATGTACAGATTTAATTAATAGATTCTTCTTAGATTTAGATCCTGATAATTTGGATACTACCTTTCCCATACTGAATATGACGTCAGTTCCGGTAAGAAACAAGAGTTTTGTTCCGGTAATGCAAGTAATCCCTGTTTGAAATTGTGTATTTATTTGAACACAAATAACTTGTCAAATAGCATATGAGCTGCTGTATCGTAGAAGTATTTTCACTTCCGTCACTTTAGTTACGACTGGTCACAAATATTTCTTTGTTAATTTAACAATAAGAACCAAGTAACATTCTTGAAAGACGTTTAAGGCTTTCCGTTTCACGTTCTGTCACAATACTAAATACCACCATGGTCTGTGTCACACTGTGCATGCACGTTAATAACATCACGGCGCCGCTTCATTGATTCCATAGAGTTGACATGTATGACTTATCTATATTTCTTAACGCTCAAGTGAAGCTTCCCTGCATTCACGTCATTAGTACTAACAGACAGCGGCTTAGAAGCAATTTGTTACAAAGAGTATAACCGTTCGTATTATAAATAAGTCAAATGTTGACAACCAGGCAATGATACTGTTCAAAGGCGAAAATCGATACTTACCTTTTAATTATTTAGTATAGCACTGTTTATTCTAAAATATTATTTCAAAAGATATAATCGATATTAGGGTGACTTTGTCAGTTGTCTATATCACGATGAGTTCGGCTATGGCGCTGACATATATATAGATTGGAACTTTCCTGTCACAATGATGAATTATTAAAGTCTGTAGGATGATGGCCCTTCGGCTACCCGGTATCTAAGCCAACACCAGAACCAATACTCTGCGGATTATTGACACTATTGTAAATATAAATGTATTAATCCATTTTTATGTGGATTTCTGGCTTTGACGCCACGCCTATTTCTCTGTTCGTGATACACTGTATAATCTGACTACCTTTTTATACACTGTGTTGTGTTTGGTTACGATCGTTTTAATTGAAATTTTAATTATTTAAGAATGAAATTCCCATTCACCCAGGTATTGGTTTGAGGGTTTTAAAATGTATACACGGTATCAGAACACCTACAGGTTAAACAAATATTACAGCATGATCGAAAGAGCTTTTTTTTTCATATCCTTACAAGGTTATCTCCCCTGGCACCTGTCTTCTGGGTGTACAATAGCTTCACAGGAACCAATGATATTGCTCAGGTAATTACGCGAGTTTATTTTTTTGATGTGAGTTTTATTTGATACATGTTATTGAATTAATTTCATTTTTTGTTCATTATAATGTCATTCAACTTCAACGATCGCTTTAGTGGAACCTAATTTAAATGGAATGCTTTTCATGGAAATATCCTATATAGGTAATTATTTCCTATTGACAGAGTATCAATGTTTCGCTATGACAATTTAATTGGAATTTTAATTGAATATTTTCTGAATTTATTTATAATGTACGACAATATCAATCAATTCAAAATTGATGATTGATGTCAAATACGTCAGCATCATTGATAAATATGAAGATCTATTTTTTCTGAAACCGTCTATCAAAAATAAATAATTCAAACGTGAAGATAAAATTTGGTTGAATATCGATTTTATAATTGTCAACTAGCCTAGACAAACATTCAGTTAACTAAATTCTCAACAGCATAAAGAGGTTAAATTAAACAAAAACACCAGTGAACGGGTAGACGTGTCAGACAAGCTATTTAATCAGACAAAATTCGATAGTATGTTTCGGTCTACATGCTTTGAACTTTCATTCAACTTGATTGGTAAGTTGATGACAGGATGTTTTTGATATTCATTAACGTGTTGTGAAATCCGCCCCACATGATTTCAAATATGACATTTAATATAAAACACACGACGGTGTTCATTTGGATCCCCCCGAAAGTTTTTATTTATGAAAATAATTATCTATTACACACCACATTGTTTATACAATGTACTCTGGTCAGTCGTTCGTTCGGGGAAAATATCTATAACACAAGACGTTGATTGAAGTTTTATGATTTTGTTTTTTAATAAAACGATGTAATTTAATCCTGTTTGAAACAAGCATTTCTATTGTTTTTTTTTATGTTATCAGCTCATAACATAAAAAACAAGAGGCCCAGAGGGCCTGTATCGCTCACCTGCATATGTTTAAAATAATTGGTATGAAGTAAAGATATAGCACTCCATGGTAGGTGCTGTAAGTACATATGAAATTTCAGAAAGATCCATACAGTACTTGAGTAATAGCGAGAACAAACTTCAAACAGAGCCCAACCCCTATGCCCCTAGGGGGTGATACCCACCGTTTATACAAAATTGAGTCCCCTTGGCCCAAGGATGCTCCAGACTAAATAAGGACAAAATCCAGTCATTCGTACAGAAGAAGGTATTTGAAGAATTTGCTATGTTTCCCCTATCGGGCCCACCCTTCTGCCCCCTTGGCCCAAGGATGCTCCAGACTAAATTAGGATAAAATCCCTTAACCCCTATCGTAGAAGAACGATTTTAAAGGTTTTACCTCTATTTCTCCTATTGGGCCCCACCTCTCTGCCTCCAGGGGGTCAGACGCACCGTTTATACAAAAGTTGTTCCCTTTTACCTAAGGATGCTTCATACCATATTTGGACAAGTCCTGTCATTCCTACAGAAGATGAAGGATTTTGAAGAATTTGCTATGTTTCCCCTATCGGGCCCATCCTCCCTTCTGCTCCCAGGGGGGCAACACTCGCTGTTTATATGAAATTGAGTCCCTTTTGCCCAAGGATGCTCCAGACTAAATAAGGATAAAATCCCTTATTCCCTAAGGTAGAAGAAGGATTATAAAGGTTTAACCTCTATTTCCCCTATTGGGCCCCATCCCTCAGGTCCCAGGGGGGTTACACCCACCGTTTATACAAAATTGGTTCCCCTTCACCCAAGGATGCTCCACACCAAATATGGACCAAATCCTTTCATTCCTACAGAAGAAGAAGGATTTTGAGGAATTTGCTATGTTTCCCCTATTGGGCCCTGCCCCTTAGGCCCCTTTGGGGGCCAGACCCACGGGTAATACAAAATAGGTGCCTCCCCTTTACTCAAGGATGCTTCAGACCGAGGATGGAACAAATCCTTTCATTCCTACAGAAGAAGAAGGAGGGGGGGGGGGGGGGTGGTGGGGGGCAGACACACCGATTATACAAAATTGGTTCCCCTTCACCTAAGAATGCTTTAGACCAAATATGGACCAAATCCTTTCATTCCTACAGAAGAGGAACTTGATTTTAAAGAGTTTACTATGTTTCCCCTTTTGGGCCCAACCCCTCAGGCCCATGGCTTTTTTTTACGTTATTGAGCCATAATATATATACAAAAGGAGTGTACTCTGAATAAACTGCGAAGCGGTTTATGAAAAGAGAACACTCCTTTTTTATGTTAAAGCTCAATAACGTAAAACAATCATTCAAATTAATCCTTAAATATTAGAAAGAATGGTTTCCTATAGTATCACGGACAGAATTATCACAATTACTGAAAACGAAGCAGGACTAGTACTTATGATCACGGTGTAAAGTTGTATTTCGCTTTGATGTCATGGCGGATATTTTATTCAATGCTTTGAAAAAAACACCAAAAAAACAACGTGTTTCAACAACAAAAATATCAGTACAACGGCGTGATTTTACAACAAAATTTTAGGTATTGCTTTAAAATACTTCATCTGACGCCAATTTCATAAAAGAAATATTTAACCTGATAGTACAACGTAAGTATTGTTTTTGGTTTTTGTTTTGTGTTTACTTTCCTAATGTCCATCGTTTTAATTTTCACGTGATTCATGGTATAAATTGCAGAGTTTTGAGTACGTTGTTCAGTTCCTGTCGGATTTAAATATATTCCAGATGTATCAGCTGCACTTTTCAGTCGAATTCACGAAGCTGATGAGAATATCAAGAGACATTGAACTAAGGCAGAGTCACGTGAGAATAGAAATGTAATTTCCAAAGTGTTATGCATAAATAAAGAGGTAGGCTTTGAAGTGACATCTTTAAAATGTTTGAAATGCATGTTAATATAAACTTCAAAAACAAACCTCTTAGGGTACGCATAATTGCTTCAAATGTCGGAGAAATATCGGGGAAGATTTATGCTAAGCTGTTTTAAGTTTAACAAATAGCGTTACAAAGACTGACATAAGGAAATTGTATATTTGAAACAAGATTAGATTTGTTCTGTACATGCAAACCAATCTAGTAATGTAATAATTGTTTTGGAAGAAAACTCGTTACATATGTACATAAATAATCCGAAATAATAAAAACACTTCCCGTTTATTTATTAAGTTATTTAGGTTTTTGGAAGGGTAGGGTACAGTAGAAATAGTTATTTCGGACTAATATGTACAAAACCTTCACATAATAGATTTTGCCTTTTCAATAATTTTCATAAAGAGACTACATAGTAGTGTTATATCTCAATATAAACTGACACTGGTGATTTACGAAGTATGCAAAACGGCTCAAAAAAACCATAAATACCACGGACGCTTGTGTTATTTCCGTATGAAATTTTACCACATGGCTTAGTTATGTTCCCCTGTGAATGGCTTGAAAAAGTGCCCTTCCCAAGGATGGACGGGTTTGGCAGTGGTTACTGTAATCGCATTTCACCAAGACCTTCCGATCGAACATGAAAAGATCACCTACCTAGCAACTTGGGTTTTCATCGGGTACTCCGGATATTTCCTTCCACATTAAGATTTACTCACCCTTTACGCGCTTTCATTTGGGCAAACACTTGAAGAGTGATTCATGTAAGTAAATGAAACTTATTTGCTTTTTTTTTGTAAAATAAATAAAGTTTATTCATCCCTCTTCTTATTAGGAGTTTCCTCCGCTGGAATTGGAGTCCAAAACTTGTGATCTTTATCTTTTCTATTTTGTCCCTTATTAAACCTCTTTGCTTCCGCATCGCCCTTAATACAACTACATTTTCCCATTTTCTATCGCGTGGACTTGTATTGTAACGTGTGGGCGGGCACTTATCCAGTTATTGACCACGCTCGACCTTGCTTAACTAGTGAACAAGTCCAAGGAACATACCGCATCGCCAATAAAGACAGCTTACTGGCAGAATATTCCCCTCAAATTCGTTGCCTGTTTTACACATATCCTTCCCACCAAGAAGTCAAGTCCCAAAATTTAGCATCGGTAATCCAATTGATCTTCCCTATGTACCAATATACTTACAAGGCACCATAGAATCCCACCGCTGCCACCAAATTTAACGTT